GTTCCAACGATAGACGAATAAGATCATTGGAATTCAAAAATAGTTTAGGGCCATGGCAGGCATTTTAACATCAACATTTGAAAAAAAAAAAACAAAACAAACTTATGTAAGGATGGTAGAAGAAAAGTTTATATCTGGTAGATACACTGTAAGCAAATTAATTTGAAAATTCATTTTTCTGCTATCATTTTTAACTCAAATTGCAAATTTTTTATTTAATTTTTATCCGTGTTTTTCTATCAAAGAAAAATTTTTAACTAAATTAATTATCTAAAATGAAATTTGAAAAGTTACATAAGACAGCAGAAAAATAAATTTTTTGAATGCAAAGATTCTTATGAAATAACAAAAAAAATAATAATAATAAATAATATAAAATCTAATTCAAAAAAGAAAAGGCAAAAACAATTGTAATATTTTCTCATTGTAATATTTTGTTTCCTGTGGCAATTTAATTGAATCATTAAAAATTTCAAAAAAACTTTTCAAATCATCAGAAAACAAAATAAGCCTGGTCATGGTAAATATGATTAATATTTTTGTTAATATTATACCTTATCTTAAAGGTAACTTAATTTGATAGAATTATTATTATGTTTAAAATTTAATGCTTTAAATAAATTTAAAAAAAGGATTTCTAAAATTTGAACAATTTAAATCATTTGAAGTGATACCTAATATATATTAGTTTTCTTACTGAATAAATTTGAAATAATTTCAAAAGATATGGAATTTATTTTTTTTTTTCTATTTCTTTTTTTTCTTTTTTTTTTAGTTTGATCGTACATAAGCCAGCGCATGTACAATATATGAGAAACATTCCAGTTGCTGAGATAAACCAAATCCTTCCTTTTTTTTTTAACATTTCTGATCCAATCACCTGATTGAGCTATATTGCACATACGGAGACACATCTATGAAAAATCATTATAATAATTGGAATATGTAATAATTAATTATTAAAATTGATCATACATATAACTTGTTAAAATTGTTTGGTTACATTATTTCGAGAAATGTTTCAAATTGATTTATTGTTTAATTTGAATAATTTTATAGAAATGACGAAGTTAATCTTAAAGATTAAGTATAAAATGCTTTATGAATGTTGTTAATGTGTAATAAATTTGGTAAAATAAAAAAAACGCCTTTTTTTAGCTTACTTACCTATCATCAATTTGTTATTTCGATGATATCATCCCAAGAAATTGGCAACAATTTCTGATTATTTCGATTTTGATTCGCGCAATACACGATATTGTTGAGATACTTCAAATCGCAAGCATTTTGTTTATTCGCTTGGATTAGCGTTTCCATTGCGATATGTTCGCGATGCTCGTATGTACATAAATTATAACAATTTGACGGTACCTGTAAATAAAAATTTAACCATCAAATTTAAAAATTCAATAAATTTTAATAAGAATTTCAATTCAAACTATTAACTATAGCTTCACATTGAAGTATCAGTTAAAACTAGTAATTGAACATGAATTTGATGAATACTTTGTCTTCAGAATTTTAAAATTCATGCTTACATGATGTTGACAACAGATTAGGAATACTTCATCGATTAGCTTTCTTGATAAATATGGTGAGTAAGATGGTTGAGAAATTTTAACAGCAGAATTGGATGGAAGATTAGAATCTGATACTTCAGTGTTTGGATATCGACGATTTAGGCAAATATAGTCTCCGTCAGTTTGATAATTTGGTGCTGAAAATTGATTTCCGACCTGATTTAGGAGTAAAAATAAATTTCTGAAATATCAGAAATCGTATTGCTGTAAATATTTACAACAGAGAGATTAAAAGAGAAGAGGGAATTATTTCATTAGAAAATGAAATTTGATGCCAAATCGATTTTTAATTAATGAAGAAGAAAATGAAAAAATGTTGTACCATTTGGAAATTCAAATGATTTCTTGGATGATTCATTTGATTCAACAAACACCATTGGTTTTTTAATCAGTTGTCGACGAACATTTTGGGTAATAGGTTCAGGTAATGTGGTGGTTAAGACTGCTGTAGAAATACAGGTGACCTAAATTTGTAAGCTTTATTTACTGATTAATGCAATCATTGATTAAACCATTTAAAAAATTTACAAAAGGAAAAAAAAGCATCTGTTCAGTGAAAATGACGTGTTTATTGATATAATCATGAAATTTTGATCATCAAAAATCACTGAATGAAATTATGACCATTAAAAATCATCGATTATGAAATGTTAACTTACTAAATTCAAAATTTAAATCCTAAATTTTTGAATATTGGAAAGAAAAAAGATGAATGTTCTAACTTGTTGATTGTAGAAATTTGATCCTGTCTTTTGATATGAACCAATCATTGATGTAATAATTTTGTAATAATTTTGCATTTTATGTAGACATTTAGCAGAAATATAATTTAAGCAATGGATAAGACATTTATCCAAAATTCTTTCGGTACAGCATAGCAACTTTGGAATAAGTTCACATGGAGGTAAGCGTTCTTTTGCCGATACAACTGCCGAAGCCGCCGCCATAAATAATGTTCTGGCAAGAACTTTGAGTTATTTGTCACCAAGGAAAAAAAAAGTTTTAATTAAAATTTCTCTGTCTCATGATGTTTAATTGCTTAATTAAATAGTTGCTCGTGGCTGAAACAATTTTAAAAGCAAAATTAATGCTTTGAAGAATGCCTTGAAATTATTAAAGAAGAAGTGGATTTAATTAATTCATTTATTCATTTCGAATTTCATTAACTATGAATACTAGTTACTATTTCTAAAAAATTACCCAATTTGAGATCTCAAACATCAGTTATGGTGCAAGTTCTTGCGTTCATGCAAGTAGTAGCTCATATTTTTATGTTTATAATGATAAAAATGATCAGTCTACGTCAAAATTTATAAAAATTAAGCACCTAATTTGCATAAATAATACTTTTTAAGAAATGAATGACCAGAAAATAGAATTGAAAATAAAAAGAAACTGAAAGCAATAAAAGAAAAAAAAGAAAAGAAATGTATCAAAGAGTGAAATTTTTTTAAAAAAAAAGCAATCAATAACAGTTAACCTAAAACAATAAAATAATTTAATTTTTGCAAAGAAATAAATCCATTTTTTTTAAAATTTTCTGTTACATTATGTAATCAATCATTCATCTATTGGTCAAATATATTCCAATCTTTGCTTAATTATTTGTTCAATTATTTTAAAATAATTAAAAAGCTTAAGTATTAGCATGTTCCTATTGCTTTCCTCTTTATCTTTTCATCATTGAAAAATCTCTCCCTTGTTTGCATTATATTTTTTTTCGAATTTCTCAGCAGCATTATTGTCATCATAAAAATGCGACACTTTTTTTTTACTATCCCTGCGCTTTTTTGCATATCCAATTTACTAGTGCAATATCATGCATCCAATTAATTAATCATTCCATCCATTAGAATTTTTTGCTTAAAAATTTATTCACATTATAAGGCGTGTTTTTTAATAGCTTATATACATTTGCGCATTTGTAGAGATGAACGGACGTTTAAAAATAGCGCTTCTGTAAGGAAAGCTTTAACAATGGGAATGTTAAAATGCATAAAAACCGGTTTTCTTTTTCAACTGGTCATCATAATATTACGCCATTTAGAACGTGTTCTACTGCTTTCTGGATGATGCATAATTTTAACAATTTAGTTAATTGTAATTGATTCTTGGGTTTGATTAGTTTAATTTAAAACTTAAATTAATTGATTAATTGCAAATTTTACTCAACGATTGAATTTTGCACGTCTTTCAAAACAAATCAGGTAAAAATTAAATCATAAATTATTAATAAAATAACAATAATTAATAATTAATAACATGTAACTACAAAGTCAGAAGCCAATTTCATTGATTAGATGAGGTGCTAAAAGAAACCTGTAAATCATTTCTTGCCAAACAGCCCACCGTATCCTGATGAGCAACTACAACTTGTACCGCCAAAAAGTCCACCACCTGATGGATAAGAGTCGTATCTTTCCTGCAGATCACTAGACTTGTTTAATGTGGTAAAATTCAACATTTTTTCAAGTTCAGAATTTTGAAACTATACAATAAACCTGTTGGCGATGGGAGCCGAAAATTCCGTTGCTTTGCTGATAGGAATCACCGCTGATACCACCAACACCTCGAGTTGACCAACTACCACTTCCACCTGGACCACTGCCTATTCCGTAACTGCTTACGCTGCAATAAACTACCTGAGCAAAAGGAAAAAAAATGTTAACATCCATTTATACTTCAATTATCAAAAGAGTACCGCTTCTCAATTCCTTCGTATTATAAATGGAATAAAATAAAATGAACTATACTGTTATTCAAAGGTCACTCATCAACTAATCAATACACTTAACCTTTTATGTCAATTGCTGCATTCACTATCACATATCCTTCTACCTTTGTGACATACTATTTACTTTAACATTCCTATGTGATACTATTAATACATGATAACATGAAATAATATTTGATGTATACAGGTGACAAAATTAACTAACACTTATTAAAACACGTACGTATTGCCTTTAATTATGAATAATAAATGTATTATTTTCATGCTCATTAACAAAATTAATCCATTCGAACATATGTATGTTTTGTGATGTAATAATATTTGTGTGTCGTCGTATATTGCATGTCGCATGTCGCATTGTATTATGTTATGAGTGATAGCTAAATAAATAATCAGATACAAAGTGGTCCGTTGGACTTCCATTCGCAATTTCGTTATCATAATTATATAACCATTGAAAGTACAGATCTTGTAGAGGAGAACGAAAGAGAGAGAGAGGCAAAAAACTGTGCAAATATTTTTGTACAGTAATAAGTTAGAGGAAGGAAAAAAAAAAAAAGATTTATGAAATATAGAAGTGATACTGAGAATGATAAGAAATAAAAGCTATATGTTATTGATAGAAACAATTTAAAAGATTGTTTCAGTTCAATGATTTATGCAAATATTTGTCTGTTTAAAATTTCAATTTTATCAATACTGTATGAGTACAATCTTCAAATTATCTAATTTGCGAAAATAGCAAAATTTTTCGAAGAAAGTGAACTTCGTTTTTGTTCATTAATTTGAATTTTATTTATTGAAATTATTCATCGATTGATTATTTATTTTTTCCATTAATTTCAAGTTTGTTAGTTAATTTAATGTTGAACGAATTGAACCGATATCTTTTCTTTTTGTTTTTTTGCTCGAAAATTTGAATTCCCGAAATGAGTTCTATCTTTTAAATTTTATTTTCGCTATTTCCATTGATTGTTGAATATATTATCACATGGATTATCCATTTCCGGTAAAATTTCCAAACTTTTTTTTTCACCATTGCTGATTGTAATTACTTTATTACTATATGAATTAAAAATTGGAATTCATATCAATGCGGATAAATTAAATAATCGGTTTTTATCATCCGTTAAATATACCGTATGGTTGGTTCGCCTTCTTCTGTTTTACTCTATTCGATTATGTCAATCCAAACTTTTTGATTAAATTTTTGAATAGTGACCTTTTCAAAACATAATAGAATTTTAATTCATTTCAGATTCAGATTTAATTTTGATGGATGATATAATCTTATATGAAAGGGTGTAAAAACTTCAAGAAAACCTTTATCACTAATCATTATCATCCCAACTTTAAAGATCTAATCAGAGAGTGCAGTGAATCATATCAATTACTAATAATAATGCCATTATTGTTGCACTTTGCTAAAATATTATAATTGCAAGTGTCTATCTCACACATATGTGTGTGTGTGCATGTGTGTGTATGTGTATACGCATGTGTGGTACGTGTATGTGTGTGTATGCATGTGTATATGTTGTACGTGTTTGTGTGTGCGTGTGTATGTGTGTGCACGTGCATTTGTGTGTATGTGTATGTGCATGCGTATGGGTGTGTGTGTATGCGTGTCTATATGTGTTTATGTATGTATATATGTATATGTGTGTAAGTATGTGTATGTGTGTGTATGCGTATACGTGTGTGTATCCGTATGTGTGTGTGTGTACGTGTTTGCGTGCGCGTGTATGTGTGTATGTGTGTGTGTGTGTGTGTGTGTGTATGTGCATGTATGTAAAGAGATGAATGTGTGCGGAAGAACGGTGTAAAGAGAGGCAAATTTCAGAAAACTTCTCATTTTCTTAATGAAGATGAAGAGGGTGACACTTTGGAGACCATTATTTAGATGGGTCCTAATTTGCACAATTTTGACCTGTTACGTATATGTGTGTGTCGGAAGATTGATGCCTGAATGAGTTGGGGGGAATTAGGACAGGTATGAGGGTTGAAGTTGACAAATATGCCCGCATATGCATGGACAGACAGACAGAAGCACACGCACACACACGCACACACATACACACACACACACACACAGACATGTTTTTCGATATATGCACCACTTTCAGAGCTTGCACAGATTTTCACATGGCTTAAATTTGTAGACATTAGCTATGTGAATTTTGGGTACCATGGAAGAGGAGGATACCATCCGAGAGGTCACAAGTATCTGAAATCAATTTCTTCACTTATCTTTCTTCATAGTGTGTGACATGAGAATGCAAATGTATGTTTATATATGAATTAAATTCAATAACAGAGAATTATTAATTGTTGAAATTTTGCAAAAACAATCGATCTACAGAAAGTGAAGAACCTAATACTGTCACTTTCGTTTTCCACGGATATTTTTAATTAATTTTAAAGTATTGTCATTGATAATAACACCGATATTAGTCTACATTTATTTTTATGGGCGATGAATTGAAGGATTGAGAGATGAGATGAAAAATGACGAAACGAAAAGATCGAAAATGATTTTTAACAATTTGATTCCAAATAGTTTTTATCGATTATTTCAATTATTATAATCATTTCAATTAAAGAATATGAAATAGGAAATGTTGTGAAGGACCATTTGTTTCATTGATTCATTAATTCATTAGTAATATGCGCCAATTTGTGCAATGTTTTAGTAAAAATTCTATTAAATTAGGATGGATGTTAATTTATACCTGATGTTGTTTTGCGCTTGCAGATCGGATAAGGCGAGTCCAACTCGCGGAGCTTGCGGTTCCGGAAGAATGTTGGCGGATTGTTTTGGGTTTCCCGAATCCGATCAAAATAATTGCGTTTTCCAGAGCAGAACAAACTGAGCCTCGAAAGTCGATGAATAAATTAATGATGTGTTTTGAGTGAATGGAAACGTTCTTTTTTCTGCAAAATGGTCATAAAAATTTGAACCCAAGCACTAAATGTTTTTTTTTCTTTGCACAATGGCCAATTGGCCAATCAGGGTGAATTTTCTTGGCCAGAATATTTATGTCGGAAGTATTACAGAAACTGTTTTGGCTTTCAGTGCAATACAATCACATGTTGAATATAATCATGCAGAGCTCGGCCTTATTATTAATTATTTGTTTTAAAATAGGTCTCAATTGAAAATGCAACAAAGGTACTACTTGAATATTTGAATAATATACCACCAATTCAACATAAGAGATTGGCCATTAAAAAGTTTAAAAATGGTATGACGTCATCACATATATGATTCCGGGAAATTGGCTTTTATCAAAAGAACATAATATTACAAAATGATTGAGATGTAAATCAACCGGAAAGGTTTGACTTTTTCAGGACGGAATGTAAAAAGCGGAAAATGTAAAGGAATAGTTGAATTAAGCAATAATTTGCAATGAAAGAATGAAGCAAAAGCCTTAAAGTGGAAAATGTCTGAAACTGTCCAGATCGTTAATAAGCAAATGATCGATCTTTCTGTGACATTGTCATTATCATGGTCCAGTAAAATATTCATTGATATTGTTAATTAGCTAAATAATAAGTGGCAGAGAAGAAACCAAGTAAAGGTGAAAACTATGTTTTGATGGAATTTCGTGAGAAAGTTTTTTTTTTTTTCTGAAGAACATCTACCTTACAATCTTGTCAACCAGTAGCTATTAAGTGGTCAATTTTGGACCAATGGACTCAGGATGACCTTGTTTCTATAGCAACTTCAGTAACTTCAGTTACTAGCAATAATCCATAAAAATCGTTACAATTTGCAAAACCTTAACTAATTAATCCATTTAGTGACTCAATCATAAGTGAAATTTGATTAACACAGACATTAAATTTTTTGATTATATTTGATAATACACTATTAGAAATAGTAAAATAGCAAGTTATTTCAGTACAAATAATAAATTCTAATCAGTAAATGGATTAGATTAGTGATCATAAGGTATAACTTTGATGTCAATTGGTAGCTAAAAAATTTAAATATGCATTATGACAGTTTATGTAACTTTGTAAGGCTTACATTACATATTGTGTAAATTCAAACTGTAACCATTACCTGTCCATATTCATTTCATGTTTATGTCTTTCATCATTTTACAATTTTATTTAATTTCAAATTTTTGTTGCATTTTCTAACTGTTTCGAAAATTTTCTTTTATAAAAAGGAAAACTTACCTCCAAATATACTTTTTTTTTTTCATTTCTCTTTCAAATATCCGACCAATTTAAGTATTATTAATTAAAAAGTTTCCTGCACAAATTTGCACATAAAATGTTTGATGGGAATAAAAATGCTTGTTTTTTTTTTTTTTTTTTTGCAAAAAGTTGCATTTCAATAAGCAATCATTAATTAGATGGATTACTGTAACATTAAATGAGTTTTTACTTAATTTTAGAGTGAAACGAAAATTTATTTAAACGTTAAATGTATCAAAAATTGATAATAATAATGTATGCAAAAGAGAAGTTCAAATTGGATTATTAATAAAAGCTAAAGGTATTTACTTACTTACCTGTTTGGTTTTTTAAGGTGAAAGGAAAAAAAAATGGGATAGGTTTATAAATGATGCATGTAACTAATAATAATGATCATTAGATAGATATGTAAACAACGGAAAATGGATGTATGTTATTAATGAGAAAATAAAAGGAAACAGAGGTAAAGCCATTTTGATGAAAAATGCTTTTATACAGCAAGGTATTTAACAATAATATAAATCATGTTTTGTTGGAGGGGTGGACAAAACTCGTTTCATTGGAGACAATGGAGTGTAGTGGACAAAGATGTTGTTGCAGAATATTTAGTTAGACAGATGATGGGATTTATTCCTTATTTCATTTGCACATAGCTGAATGACCAGTAGAAGCAGAAAAAAAACAAAAAACAAAAAAAAAAAAATAGATGAGAGCTTTATGAAATTTATCGTTGTTTTGCCATCCTTTCCTCTCTCTCTCTCTCTCTCTCTTTTTTTGATTTTCTTGAAATTTGAAGTATCTTTCTTATTCTTAACTTGACTATATCCCTTTTCCGTCCTAAATTTAATGATATTTCCCATGAAATTATTTTAATTTCAACTCTCTGTCCACTGTCCATCTGATGATAGTCTTGGATTATCTCATTTTCATAATTCAAATCATTAACAGACAAATAACATCACAAAAGTTTGCCTCATCTCTTTTACAGTTTCTCAAAGTACTACCATCTCCCATTTCAACTACTAAATCAAAAATTCCGAATTCAAGTATCTGTGTTTTGAAACAGCACCCATCGCCACCAATACACCCAGCACCGACAGCGGCACCAAAACCCTCCCGATATATGAGCCCACCGTTGATACCGTTCATGTAACCCTCCCCCTTCTGGGTACCGCCCTTCCGCTCCTTCCTCTTCTTCTTCTTCTATCCTTACAACATTTCCCAAGAAGTGTTGATCCCATTGGGAGGAATGAATGAAAGAAAGAAATGAAGTGAATTTTGTATTTTTGACTGCCTCTCTGTCAATAGATGATCTCCTGGTACGAATAGTATGTCAATGGTATGTATTTTAAGAAGTGGAAAAGTACCGCGGGACTCCACCTCCCCTTTCTATATGATATTTTGAAACTGTCAAGAGCAGTAATAGCTCTCCTCCCAATGCTTATTCAAACTTTCCACCTATCTTTTGAAATTGCATTGAACATGGAAAAAAAATTATACCATTAAAACAGTTGTGGATTTAAATTTTTCTAAAATTTTAATTTAATTTGCTTGAAAGAAGAACTGAAACTCTCATCCGATTGGTTGAAATATGATGAAATTAAGCGAAAAAAAAATTGCTATATCTTTTTATAGATATTATTGAAATGACATAGTATAGAAAAAGCAAAAAAGCGGGAAGTTTCAAAGTAGTAAATCCATTTCATCATAAATTTCTCCTACAAAAAAAAACACATTTTAGAAATACGGTATCGGTGAAGAGATGAATTTGCCTAGCAAGAATTTAGGATGAGCCAAGACTATTGTTTGAAATTGAGAAATCAATCAATCAATCAATAGTTTCTGTTTTAAAATACTATATGCTTTCAGGATTATTAATAAGCATGACTTTTGTCATATTTTATTGATTAAATAGTCAACTTTGAGCCAAATCACCGATAGGCTAACCAATATTACTCACTGATCTTCTCTAGCTTTCTTATTAGTATTTTAAGTCTAACGTAAGATTATATTACATATTAAAGGTAAATTGCTTTGAATAAGCAAGCAGTCCTAACAGGTGACAAATGACCAAACAATCTTGACAACTTTACCAATTTTAAAATATTTTGGAGCGGTAAAGTGAGGAGTAGCATTAAAATTCTCTCGAAGAAATTAGCATCAATGCCAGGACGAATGAAATGAATTCCCTTTTTTTTGTGATATCCATTCAACAACTTTTGATATGTGTCGACATTGGCATTTAACTACCAGTTGACCGCTGGCTGACCCTATTATATGTTGGCGCGTGCGTGTGTGTGTGTATGTGTATGCGAGTGTACGTGACTGTATATGTGTGTGTGTGTGTGCATGTGAGTTATGTGTATTATGTGTGCGTATGTATGTGTGTATGTATGCATGTGTATGTGTATGTGTATGCATGTGTTGTATGTGTGTGTCTGTCGTTGATTATGTTTGTTATGTACATCGAAGCGACAGAAGAGAGGTGGGCAGTGCTTTCTTGAAATGACCGGGCAGGAAAAGGTACGAAAACCCCGGAGGGTAGAACAAATATCCCTTTTTTTCTTTCTTACCCTCTTCTTCCTCCTTTATCTCTTCATCTCTTTTATCCATGCTTCATTTTCCAAGGAGGCATTAGTGACAGGGAGAAGTTGATTGTTTTGTGGTTGGTTTTATTCAGGGAAAAGGTCAACGATCCGGACCTTCCCCTTTTGCTGCAAAAATTCTCAACATATATATTGCCCTGTTTAATTCCTGCTCTTCATTGAAATGGTTGATCGTCATCCAAACATGATAATATTATCCAGAAAATCGAGAACGCCACAGGGTATAACGGGATAATTCAGGAAGAACGATTAATGAATGGAATATTTGAGCACAAAAATAACAATAAGAGGTCATGAACATCCGTTAATTTATAAAATATACAAGGGTCAATGAAATACATTCTTCCCTTTCTTTTTTTTCTTCGCTATCTTTCCATAATGAAAAAGAAAAAAAAAAAAAGAAGAGAATGACATAAAAATAGCACTGTTGCCATTTCTTCTAGCATTGGTTATTTACTTTTTTTTAAATTTAAATATTTCATTGGCATCCATCCAAAAGAAAACATTAATCCAAGAGCAAATTCCATGTTACAAAATTATTAGCATCCTAAGCCTGATTCCATTTTCTGGCTACTGATTCTTTCATGATACTTTTGGCACGTCCAACTTCATCATCTATCACATCTGTTTGTTATTATTTTTCTTTTTTTAAACGTATTTCCAATATCCAATTTTTGATTTTTTTTTCAAGTCCTAATTAGACTAATTAATTCACACTACTCTTCTCAATCAGTTTATCATTCATTTCGTTAAATAATATATACTGAGAGTTAGAATTTTAAATAAGGTTTGTTTATTTCATGCGACATATTTCAAATAAACATTTTTTCTAATCCTCCACTTCCCTCTCTCTCTCTCTC